ACTAACTGTCCTTAGGGGAGGTGGGATCTGGGGCAGTAGACACTGTCCTCTTCATACTTTTGTTTTCTACAATAGGCACTGTGGCGGGTGGGACGGCAGCCCCCAGAGAGACACGGCCATGTCCCCACAGCCGGACCTGTGACTATGATCTGTATTTGGAAAAACGATCTTTGTGGCTGTAATTAAGGTCTCAAGATGAGATTATCCTGGGTTAAACCTGGGTGGGCCCCAAATCCAATGACAAGTGTCCTTATAAGAGACAGAAGAGACGCATGCACGGGAGAAGCCACGAGAAGAGGGAGGCAGAGACAGGAGGGATGTGGCCACAAGCCCAGGGAGCCCCCAGCAGCCGGAAGAATCCAGGGAAGACCCTCCTTCGAGCCTCTGGAGGGAGCATGGTCCCATGGACACCTTGATTTCAGGCTTCAGGTCACCAGAGCTGGGAGAGGATAAATTCCAGTTGTTGAAAGCCCCTCCGTTTGTGGCAGTTTGTTACAGCAGCCCTAGAAAACGAATACAAGCATGCAAAACCCCTATAACCAGAAAAAGTGTAAAAATGTTTAATTAAAACAGTAAAAGGCAGAAACACCTACAGAGGATAAGCCAGGCCCTGTTCCAGGGACGGGAGGAGCAGAGGCCACAGCCAGCTGAGGGATGGGCACCGTCCCCTCCTGAGCTGCCCCCCATCGGGCCTCGGCTCCCGCTGCCCCTCCTTTGCTCTTCCACTTCCCTCTCTCACCTCTCCTGTCTCTCTTTTCCGTTTCCTTTTGTCTTCTTTCTCTTAACTGACTATAATACAGAATAAAATTACAGTTTTAGCGTGGAATCGTCCTTCCTGGATCAAGTTTTGTGTGCCTTAGTCTTGATTTTGAAGTTGCTCCGACCTTTCCTTCCCCTCATCTCCCATGGGCCACATCTCCCCTCCTGGCCTCCACCCTCTGCCGGCCGGCACCTCAGGCCTGACCTGGCGCCCCGGCCGCTCAGCCTCCTCCAGCCCAGCCTCCTCCAGCCCGGCCTCCACGCCCGTGAGAGACCAACTGGCTTGAAGGACCTTTTCCTCTGCAGCTGCTGCCCGAAGACCCCGGACCACTCCCACTGCGGAACTGAAGTTCAGCTCTAGCGCCCGGTAACTACCCATTTCCACAGTGCATCCCCACCCTCCTGAGTCCTTAAATTTGACTTTTCGTGGACAAAAGCACTAAAATTGATCTATGCCTCGTTCCCTGAACGTGTCCTCTCCCCACTCCCCTGGAAGCCTCACTCCCTTCGTTTTTCTAACTGAGATGGTGCCCCGACCAGCACGTCGGCCTCAAGTCCGCTCTCACCTGTCCCTCCAGTGTCTACCCATCTCCTCGCTGAAGCCAGGGCATGGCACCCATGCCCCATTCTCCCACCCTCCCCACTTTCTGTGTCTTAAGGAAGAAAAATCTGGTACCAGACCCCCTTCTGGAGTCTCCTCGGAGTTTCTGCCTCAACTGCCCTGGGCTCCCTGGGAGCCGCCCCTTGTGGTGCTGGGCTGACTGGGTTCAGGTGCTTCCCGCTGGTACCCGGCGCTCCGCCCACCCCTAGCACACATCAGCGCTCCTCACACGGCGCTTTCTGTTTTTTCACGTGCTAAGTAGTTAATGTTTGTTCAATAAATCTTTGCTCTTTGGCGCTGAGTGGAATAAAATAGGTTTCTTTGTGAATGCTCGGGGGGCCGTGAGGGAGGGGCTGTTTTGCCACCATCAGAATGGAGGGTTAGGAGCGACGATGGCTGCAGCCCACTGAGACCGTTTCCCCCACAGACACCGTGTGGTCACCTCCTGGCCTTCCTGCCAGGGCCTCGCTCTCCACTGGGCTGGCCCAGGGCACGCTCAGGTGCGGCTGTGTCCCTGCCTCATTCCTCCAGCTGGGACACTTTGGGGCAGGGCCAGGAAGGGGAGCCGCGGGGCACAGTCTGGTCTGTGCGCGGAGATGGTCACACGGAGCGCTGAGCTCACGGCAGGTTCGGCCTGGGAGGGGCCAGGGAGGGGCCGGGTGGGGCGCCTGCATCACCCAGACTTTGTCTGTCCGGCCGGAGGTGGACAGTCAGGAGCAGAGTTGTGCCTCTGCTTGGTTCTGGACCAGGGAGCAGAGCTGCAATGAGCAGGCAGGAAGGACCCCGGTTTGTCCTTCTGCGTCCAGAGCTCCTGTTAGAGTCCAGAAACTTGGGTCAGGACCCAGATGTGGGACCAGCTCTGGGGGCTGTTGGGTCCTCTCTCCCTCCCTCCCTCTCTCTGTCTGTGTCTCTGTCTCTCTTGGGACGTGTGCGTGTGTGACTCACATGTGTGGCTCCCTGCTGGCCTTGCCCAGTCTCCGGAGGAAGGTGGAGGGTGCGAGTCAGGACCTTGTCTCGAGCTCTGCCTGGTTGGCGTGGACTCGGGCCTTCTGGCGCTGGCCGCCCCACAGCCCTGCACCGGGCTTCCTGACGACGGTTTCTTGGGTCTGTTCCCTCCTGGACTCACCGGCCTTTGCCTGCGTGTGGCATTTACCCTCCCCAGCTGCGCATATGCACCAGCAGCCTCAGCATCCTTGCAGCAAACCCAGAGAAAGACCTGACCCTCCTATGCGCAGAGGGGCTGGAGGGGTGACCCCCACTGTCCTGCCCCCGGTAGGCGCAGGTGCAGGCGCCCAGTCTCCTGCTGTCCAGGGCCGCGGTGGGAGGGCATCTCAGGCTGGCTGAGCGGGTTATGTAACCGCACACGTGGGTTTACTTTGGCTGCCGTAAACCCATAAACACTCTGCAGACGGGCTGGGCCCTCGGCCACTGAAAGCCCTGCCGTCGGCCCCACAGATGTGCTCAGGGAGACGGTGCTGACAGACACAGCGTGGCCGCTGCCTCTGCAGCCGCACCACGTGGGCTGGGACCGCCGGTCAGCTGAGGGAGGGTCCCTGAGGAATCTCGGCAGCCAGGGTGCGCGGTGCCTCCCAGTGAAAGCAGAAAGACTGTGGCGCACAGGGCTCTCTCTGCTCTGCCTGTCCTTCCTGCCTGGTGGGTGGGACCACAGCTGACTTGTGCCCTCTCCTGCTTGGTGGGGGTCTCTCAAAGGTTAGGTCTGTTGACCTCAAAGATGTCTGCTGCTCTCACTATTCTCACCCAGTTGTGCTGACCATTGGGCTTCTTCCCATCCACTGTGCCACTGCCTCCATCTCTGCACTCGGCTCTACCCTCTGTGGCATGGTGTCAGTCAAATGAAGCCCACAGAGGGGCTGGTGCTTGATAACATGCTGGTGCCCTCCATATCTGGACACCTACATTTCATAGGAAATATTAGTGACACATCTCAGCCAAAGGAATAAATCTCTAATGGTGAAATAGCAGCTGGCGAGAGGTGATGCTTCTGAATGGAGACCCTTTTGTCAAAACCATCAGATCTTGCACTGAGCCAGGGCTGGGATCCACATCCAGGGAGAATTTATTTACAGAGCAGCCAAGGGCTGGTCTTCAATGCAGGTGGCCCATTAGTAAAGTCTCCACTGGCTGGACAGTGATGTGAAGGCCTAGGATGCTCCGGCCGAGTGACACCCATCCTCTGCATCTAGGAGGGAGCACACTTAGGGTCTTGCTCATGCTGCTTCTGATGCAGCTGTACCCTGCGGATGAGACTGGAAAATGCGCCACGGCAAAACCCTGGTGAGGAAGTCGTACGTGAGGCTGAGCCTGTGCCGAGCACCTGTGACGACGGGCCCCCAACACCCCTGCCCAGTTCAGGGGAAATGTGAATTGAGGCCCGTGGACGCGGAGCATCCAGTCCAGCTTTACCTGGCCGGCAGTGGGAAGCTCCCTATTGCTTTCAACTAGTGAGGCAGTGGCTGCACGAGTTCAGGAGTGAGGCAGTCACAGGTCTTGATTTTTCTAAACCGCTCTGAACGCCAGCCCCCATCAAGGTGCGGGGTCCAGCTGGGACTCCGGGGTCCTCCGGAACCCCCAGGGCCCTTGGCTCCCCTAGCCTCCACGGTCCTAGCCTCGTCAGCCAGTCTAGCGCACCCCTCAGTGGCCCCACTTTTGAGAACAAAGGCCTGTGTGAAGCAGCACAGGATCACTCAGATCCCCACAGGGTGCTTCATGGTGGAAGTGGAGACTGTTCCCTTTGGGGCTCTGAGTCTGAGCCCCAGGAAGCAGGACACTCGGGTCCCCAACACTGGGATGTCCGTGGAGGACAGGTCCTGTGTGGGGCACCATGCCTGGGCTTCTGGGGCACAGGCTAGGAAACCAGGGCTACTCGGGGTCGTGGGTGGTGGGGAGACACAGGGCACAGGCGCATTGAGTGGAAGGTGCAGCAGGGGCTTCAGGAAGTCTGCTCTTGCCACAGAGTCCCAGGGGCTGGGGACACTGCTCCCTCAAGGACAGTGGGCACCACAGAGGTCGAGGGGGATCACTTTCAGCTCTGCAGAGCTGGGTGCAGGAGTGACTTGGCAGGCACTGGGCCTGGCTTCTTTGTCACTGGTCACTCTTTAAGGTACGTAATTTATTTATAGTAACGGTTTTTGTAACTCCAAGTGCTGTGCACAGCCTGTAGACGCTGCGGGAAGTAGAGTGGACTTTGTCAAAGAGGGAGCCATCTGCAGAGAAGGTGGTCAGAGAATGTGACTGAGCCCCCTGTTGGGCCCTGAGCCACCCGGCTGCCAGGACACTGGGCACTGACGGGGCCTGAGAGGCTGAGATGGTGCTGGCCCTGCCCCCTCCCCGGGGAAGACCTCGCCCCCTCAGGCAGCCCGTCTTGTAGGGGAGGGGACCCCTCGCACCCCCGTCCCCACGCTCAGAGCTCTGGCTGCACTGATCTGCATCCAGTCCTCCCCGGGCCTGAGACGGCTGGGGTCCTGCCCCCAATCCTCCTCTCTCTTTTGGGCCTTTGGGTTTCCGACCCATGGCAGCACCTCCCCCGACGCTCAGGGGTCAGGGCTGTGACCGCCCATTCATCGTAGTTGCTTGGTGCATGTTCGCAGAATCAACAGACGAGGTTTGGAAAGAAGACAAGTTCACTTCACATTCGACCACAGAGAAGTGCAGGAGGGTTTGTCACAGCTCTCTGGGGGCCGGTTTTCCTCTAGGGCGCGGTGTGTGGCCCCTCATCTCAGGTCACCCACCATCCCCTTGGGTGAGCTCTGAGGGCTCTGGACACCCGGGTCCCACGGCCGTCACACTGCCACCTCCGTCAGTGTGGCTCTGCTGAGCCTTTCTCGAAGTGGCCAACGTCTCTTGGCCACAGGAGCTTCCTGCTGCTGGGGGGGAGCCGGACGAGGCTGGCAGGGTCGCTCAGAAGGGTCTCAGGGGACAAAACCACTCTTCGTCTGGCTGACGCAAGTGTAAATGACTCAGAAACACGCGGACTTCATTTCCTGGAGGCACGTGGATTGCCATGGGGGCTGGGGAGGTGATGAGGGTTTTGGCCAAAGAATTTGGGTTTGGCTCGAGTCAGAAATGTGCGAGATGAAGTGGGACAAGTTTTCCAAGCCCGTTCGGGTCTGTGCATGGCTAACAGGGCAGGAGCACCCGGTGCTGGGGGCTCCTTGGGGGCAAAGAAGGGGCGTCCCTTCCGCGGTCAACAGCCATCAGGCCGTTCTGCAAAGGGATTTTCCAGCACTGTCGCTTTCAGCCCGAAACAGCTCTGTGAGTTCAGCTTCAGAAACTGAGTTTCTGGGTGGGGGCGGGGAGGTGCACCCAGGGTCTTCATCCAGGAGCCTGGAGTGAGGTCCGGGGAAGGGGTCTTCCGCCCACCCGCCCTCCGTACCCCTCCTTCAGCCATCCTCCCTGTGCTCCCGGTGCAGGAGTGGAAGGTGTCGCTGTCTGGGGCCATGTGTCGTATGGGCCCCCAACAGTGCCCTGCGTGGTGGTCCTGGCAGGTGCTTGGGCACTGCCCAGCAGCTGCGTGGGCTGCTCAGCCTTTCTCCTTCTGTGTCCATCGGGGTCCGGTGTGAGAGCAGGCCCCGCCTGACCACTCCAGGTGGGGCTCTCAGAGACAACGCAGAACCAGCTGGATGGGTGAGGAGTTGGGGCCACCTCTGGGATTGTTGGTTTAGGGGAACATGAGACCCAGGGGCCAGAGCTGCGGCTGCTCCTGGTGGCTCCTGAGTCAACAGCGAAAACGGACGCCGTGCCCCCAGCCTCGACGTCCCTGCAGCTGCACTGGTCTCTGGACACTGAGCAGCGAGGCCGAAGGCTGGCAAACGTGCCCGGCAGCAGGACAGTGGCCTTGTCCGCCACCGAAGCTCAGCGCCGTGCCGCTCGGGACAGGATGTGCACGAGAGCCCTGTGGGCTGGGAAGGCGGCTAGGCCGGCCCCGGGCCTCCCCGCAGCTCACCCCAAGGGGGTCTGCCCATCTTCCTCTCTGGGCCCTGTTCCCTTCCCTTTCCTTTTTGCCCGGCCACCCCGTTTCTCTCACAGGTGGCTCCCCCAGCAAGTCCTTGCAGGGTTAACCAGACTCGGCGCTGCTTCTCGGAGGACCTGACCATCGCCTGCCCTCTGGAAGCATCGCCTCAATGCCTGGGCAGCTGGCACTCTGGGAACCTGGCCTGCCACAGGCTGCCTTTCAGGCCATACATGGGCTCCATGGCCAGGGGCCGTCCCTGTGGGCCTGGGCTCTGGGTCCTCAGGTTTGCGGCGGCCGCTCCTGGCTGGCGCTTGGGGCAGGTGTGGGAAAGCATGGGTGGAGCTTCAAGGCGGGGTGGGCGCTGAGTGCCCTCCCTGAGACCCGCAGGCCCACAGCCCTGTTTCTTCAGCACTCAAGGACAAACCACAGGCCTGTGACCCTGTGGCCTATGACAGGCCTGGACCCAGGCCCAGCGACACTGCAGCCCTGCAGCTCCGTCCACGGGTCCCAGGGAGGATTTGGGGCTCAGCCTGCTGTGCGTCCGGGAGCTTCCATGGGGCTCAGGTGAGTACCCTGTGAGGCTGCGTCAGTACAGCGGCAGCCTTGCGTCGATGTTCGCTGTTGTTCTCTGGCACTTCTGGGTTGTCTCTGGAATGACCAACATCTGGGCCGGGGCAAGGAGGGCCCAGAGGAGGAGAGAAGGGGCGCGTGCTGCGGGAAACGACACATGCAGGGTTCGAGAGAGCCTGGCGGGCTCCCGTAGCTGGTCACCCCCATAGCACTTGCAGCCTGGGCTCCCCCGGGCCATGTGTCATGACCCCGAAACCCCGATTACAGCAAAGACAGGGGGGCTCTGCGGGCCCCGCCTCTGGCTCCTCTCTGTTGTTACTGTTTCCCGGCCGGAAGGCGGGAGAGGAGGCCAAGGGTGACCGTCCTCAGGGCCGCCACCCCACCGCCCGGCCCTGCCCCTCTGGTCGGGAGGCGGAGGGGAGCGGACTCCATGCAGGGCCACGAGGAGGCTCCCGTGTGCCAGCCCTTCTGCCTCCGGGGTGAGCTGTCTTCTGACAGAGGAGCGTCCTGGCAAAGACACTCACAGCTGTGGCGGCCTGAAGCACGTTTATTCCTGGTTTTATCCATCTCTCATTTGTTTTTCTCTAAATGGGAAGGGATGGGTGCAGTTCTCTTCTCCTTCTTGGAAGGCTTATTTTTTATTATCATTAAAGAGTATTAACAACAACAGACTCACAAGTGCCCACACTGTGAGCACAGGTCCCGTGCTGTGCGTGGCACCTGCCTTCTGTGCAAGTGCTCCAGCTTGTTCTTCAGTCCACCCTAGGGCTGGTGGCCAGTGACTCAGGCCGGGAGTGGTGTGGGCCCGGGTGCCAGACTCGTCATTATGTTTTGTGAGTGTGGTGGAAAACATTCGTTTTCCGGGAGGTGGCCCTGCTTTCAAGAGCCAGCCTTTGGAGAAAACAGGACACGAAAGCTGGTTTTGGCTTTGAGGTCCAGATGGGGCCCGTGTCTTTGCTCACAGCCCTTGGCACAGGGCTGGCTCAGGAACTCCAGGGGGCTCGAGTTGGTGCAGAAGGTTCCCTTTCTCCTGTAAGAGCTGTGCCCGGCTGTCCACTGCTAGTAAAAGTGGTGAGTCTGAGCCAACTCCCCGTGGACACACTGCAGGCCGCTGTCTGGTGTGACTTCCTTCTGGGGCACAGGATCAGGACCCGCTTTGGTGGTGAGGCAGTGGGTGAGGGGAAGAGGGAAGCGACATTACAGTGCAAAGCTGACTCTCCCGATGGTGCTCAGTGGAGCAGCTTGCGCCACGGCCGTGCCTGAGTGGCTGGAGGTTAGACCGGGTGCCCTGGCCTTCTGTCCGGGGAGGGCTCTTGGCACTCAGATCTGCCCAGACTTCCCAGAAAAGGTGGGGGGCACAGGCCCTGTGGCAGGCTACGGGACGGCCTTGGCCTGCTGGGCAGGTCACCGAGGCTGCACTATCAGAATGAAAAATGAAGTGCTTCGTCTAGCCGATGAGATGACACTGGGTATAAAACACTTTATTCTGCTTCTACTGAATGTAACCTTTTGGGCACTTCAATGGAAACAAAAGCCCTTTCATAACTCCCAAAATTGGGTTCTGCACACACTGACATCTCTCACGGACACCCCACACGAAGCAGCCGTCTTGGCCCCAGAGCTCCTGGTACCCACTGTGTTTGGGAGACAGACACGAAGCTGAGTCCCGTAGAGAAAGGACAGGGCCGGGGCCAGCAGAGTTGCAGCTGGCGGCTGAGTCTGAACCTGCCTCCTCATCCCTGACTGGCAGGAACCCAGAGCAGCACTCAGCATCGCTGAGCCTCAGTTTCTTCATCGGTAAAGTGGGCTTAGGGATGGCCCCGCTACGTTTACTTGTGGGGATCAAATAGGATGATGGTGGAAGCGTCACCACAGAATTAACCCACCAAGACGGATCGGACAAGGCATTTACAACTTCCAAAACCAATTAGGAGCTGACATCTCGAACATACAAGAAATTCCTTCCTGTCTACAAGATAAGACAGGAACCCCACGGATATGGGCAAGTGATGTAAAGAGGTGACTTGCAGAAGGCCCAGTGGGCGGCAAATGGCCCTCGGGCACAGTGGACGTTGGAGGGATTCAGATCAGAGCAGTAGAGACTCTGTTCACCCCACTGGGTGGACGAGGTCGGGAAGCCGAGTGATGCCTGGTGGGAGTGTCGTGGCTCCAGTCTTACCCGACTTTGCCAGACTTGAAGTGTGTGCGCCACAGAAAGCTGCAGCTTCCGTCTCTGCCCAAGGGGAGGAGCAGGGACTAGACGGACCCCTCCGGAAACAGCGACACAGGTGAGCCTTCCCACGGCCCGGCCCCGGGGCCTCCTGAGGGGCCTCCTGAGGGGGCTGCAGCAAGGCCAGCTGGATGAAGGACAGAGCTGGCTGCTGCAGCAGGGGCGTCCGTCCAGGCTCCTGCACCAGGGCGTTGGAGGCAGCATGAGAGTCCACGGCACAGCTCCGCCTCTGACCGTCAACAGTGCACGTTCACAACAGCTGGTCACGTTCTACAGAAAGTGTCAAACATTAAACACGTCAGAACATGTCTGGGCAGGAAAGAGGCGTGGGAGTGGGACTGAGGTGCGATGCTGAGCCCCCTGACGCAGAACCGTGGGAAGAGCAGAGTAGGAAGAAGTGGTCGCCTGGTCCTGGCAGAGCAGCTGTCCGTACGCCATGCAGATCAGGAGTGGTCGCCATCCGGGTTTCTGAGTCTGGAACGCAGATGGCGATGTGGAAAGGGCCAGAGTGGGTATTTAGAGGGAAAATTGGCAGGGCAATGAAAGGAGGCTCTTGGGAGGTGTGTTGATGGATCTGGCCTTGTCCCTGAGGGGTGGACAGAGTTGCGATGTGGTCACTGCTGGCCGTGGCAGAGTGAGTGGCCGAGGAGGCATTGCTGAGCTGGGGCTGGGGCTTCTCGGGACGTGGAGCAATGGAGCACATTCAAGACGGATTGGGGTAGGACTGGCTTGGGGTTGGTGGCTGTGGGTGAGGAGAGGTGAGTCTGGGAACAGCCCTGGGGCTCTGAAGCTCTTATTCATGTGACTGAACGACACGGTCGGGTGTGGGCAGGTTCAAGGGACAGACATGGATTCAGTTCTGTGCTGTCTTGAGTTCGAGATTCCTGTGGGGCCTCCAGCTAGAGACATTTGTGTGCTGGAAGAGACCTCGGGGCCAGTGTAAAGCCTGAGGCTTGGGGTGCCCTTGGTCTTGTCTCTGACGGCTGTGGGACCTGGTGACTTCCACTGGAGCGTGCATCTTCGCTCCCCCATGTCACGTTGAGGCTTGGGGGCTTTACTGAGACTCCTCAGCCAAGATGCCAGGTGTCCGCTTCCCTGGACCCACGTATAACCCACCCCACGGGGCAGATGCACGCCCACCTGGGACCCCAGCATCCCGGCCCAGTGGGGCTGCTTGCTCCTTGCTGAGCTGACCTTTTAGACAGGGTTTCCTCAGGCACCCAGGCAAGCAAAGAAGCCTTTCACTCCTGTTGGAGTCAGAGGCCCTGCAGGCACTGAAGATGACTAATGCCTCGAGAGCCTGTGCTGAGGAGGTTTGTCCTGTGTGGGGGGTGTGGGCCTGGCTTTCTACACCTGTGGCATGTGGCCCACACCCAGATGCACCTCTGTGGCATCCCTGGAGGACATTTGAAGGTCCTCTGAAGGTGTGGGTTGCTGCCCTGACCTGCACGTCTCACAGTGGTGGTTGTCATCGTCTTCCTTGGGCCCCAGGGGCCAGCATGGCATTCCAGGCCTTTCCTGCACCAGGACAGTTTCAAGATGTGGATGCCTCCAGGCAGCTGTTGTTGAGTGGGGCTGTGTGCTGGGATTGGCGGGGGAAGGGGGTAAGTGAGAGGAAGACGCAAGAGGCATGGATGAGAGAGAACTGATGCTCGTCAGCAGCCTCCAAGAATGGCTGAGACAGCTTGCATGTCCCCTCAGCACTCAGCACAGAGCCCAGACAGGACGCAGCAATGCCCTCCCGTGTTCGCACTCAGACTCACGCCTCGGGTGTGAGAGGGGAAATAACAGCAAGGGCCTGGCGTGGACAGTCTCAGAGGCCCAGACAGCCCAGGCCTGGGGCTGAGAGAGGGCTTCAGCCGACGCAGTTCACCAGGCATCAGGCCAGAAAAGGTCAGATCATCAGAGACAAACAGCCTGGAGCCTCAGGGTTATTGAGTTATGTCCTGGAGTTATTGGTTGCCTTTGTTTTATATGAAGACGTTGGGCTTCTGGGGAAGACAAAGCCCTGGCCAGTTGCTCAGCTGATGGCTGGGTGACCTAGGAAGGAGTTCACAGGCCCGTGTGGCCTGACCAGGGTCTAGTCAGTTTGAGGGGCACATAACCCCGGGCAGAGACGAACTACCCAAGCTGCACAGGGAGTGTGTCTGGGCTTCCTGGGCCCGCCGCGGCAGGGACAGCCTCACTGCACATGGTCTCGCTGTGGTCCAGCCCCATCCACGGACAGGAAGTAGTGAGAGCGACTCAGGACAGGGCCAGGCCGAAGCCTCCAGCTTCCCTACCCTCTGGGAAGGCTCCTTCTGAGACCTGCGGGAGGTGTGAGCCCAAAGGGGAGTCTGGGTGAGCGGAGCGAGGGTGTCCGTCCACCATGCGGACAAGAGAGCTCCGGGAGAAGAATCCTGGTACACTGCATCCTACCGGATCCCACCTGAATTTGTGACGATTTGGACAAAGTGGGCTGGAGTTTATCTTTCGCGTTTGCCGTGAGAAGCAGAGGGACAGATTTGATTGCAAAATAGGCAGATTAACATAATTGTGTTGCTAACATCAAAGCTGATTTAAAACTCTGTTTTCCAAGCAAAGAGAAACGCTGGCTCTGCTGTGAGGATGGTGATGCCTGGAAAGCAGGTTTCGTGCTTCTTCACGCTACAGTTGAGCCGCTGTTTGCCACCTGAGGGGGCAGAGCTGAGTCTCTGCATGTGTTCCCATCTTCGGCCCCTTCGCTTCAGCCCACGTAGCCCTCCGGGCTCGGTTCCTTGGCCTGCTTGCGCTCCATCTGAGGGTTGAGCCTGGGCCTTCACTAGTTGCCGAGGTCTCCCCTTTTCTCCAGCAAGGTCCGTTGCTGTGACGAGGCCAGGACGTGTCAGGACTTCCCGGCACGTTGACCGGCTCTGGCCAGGGCTGAGTGTGACGCATGATGACAGGGCAGAGGTTTTGTGGGCTCCGGTCTCACTTCCTTAATGACACAGTTGTCGTCTTCGTCATTGGCCTCCTCCTCCTCTGCTTTCACCATCGCCACCAGTGAGGCCTCTAATGGACCCGTTGTTCAGGCATCTTCCGGAGAATGTACCCACGTTTTCTCTCGCCCTCTCCATGTCATTTCTCGATTAGCTGTGGTAGCTGTTCTGGCCCATGTAGGTGGATATTAGACTCAGAGACTTTAAGTAACTTGCTCAGGGCCACACAGCTGTAAAGTGGCAGAGCCAGGATTTGAACGAGGTCTGGCTTCAAATTCCACAGTTTCTTTGCCACGCAGCTTTTCTCAGACTAAAGACAGTGACTAAGGTTTCCAAAAGTGCCTCCCTCCCCAGGATGAGCCCCGTCCACAGGGCAACGTGTGGAATTACAGGTTCCCAACAGAGGCGTCCTTACAGGAGTGGGGGCAAAGGATGCCAGGATCTGGTCTGAACACCCTCTGCCTTATCTGGCTTCAGGTGACCTGGCTAAGTGGGTTTGAGATAAAAACACTTGGTGAGAATGGAGGCCTCTGAGGGCGGCTCGGGGCAGAGGTGCTAGTATCTGCGGGCACCGATCGCGCTGCTGCGCCTCTTGGCACGCCTCCCGTTATTGTCTTTGCATCGGCTCACACTCCCTTTCCCTCGGCGTGTTTCCTTCATAACAGGATGGCAGACACAGCCGCTGCTAAGGGCCGTTCCAGCTCCTGAACCTCTGAGATCAGGTCCCCGCGTGAGACTCTGAGACCACGAAGGTGCCCACTTCCCAGAGCATCTTTGAAGCTCTGAGGGCCCCGTTTCCCTGTTTCAGTCACCCTGGATGGTGACCACTGGGGAACATCACCTGAGTGGTCTGCACGTGGAGCCCCAGCCCTGATGCTGGGTCTTCAGTTTCCAGGGGCTTTTCCAGCTCAAGATACTCCTAAGCTTTGCTCATTATTGTTTGAAGAAACAGTCTCAGGGTTCCATCTTCCAAGTGCTGGCTCTCTGGCTCCTCCTTCCTCTCAAGTCTGCGGCAAGTCAGCCCATCTTCTCCGAGATCGTCTTCTTTCTTGAGGTACTTTATCAAGTGCAGTGGTAGCAACGAATTCCCTCTACTGGTGGTGTGCTTGGAAAGCTCTTCACCCAAAGCCAGAACTGCATTAGGTATGTTTCCTGTTTTCTAGGTTATTGCAGGAATCAGTTTTAGTGATTTTTTTTTACCATTACATAACACATGTTGCTATTTTCCAACTTTCTAAAACAGTTTCTTCACCACTCAGCCTATCAGCCAGTGCCATATGTTTTAGGTTTTATTATGGCAGCATTCTACTTTTGGCACCAAGTTCTCTACTAGTCAGCTATTGCTGCAATAATGCTGTATAACAAATGATGCCATCAATTCCAGCGGTTTAGAAAAAAATGTTTCCCACTCATGTGTTTGTGCGTCAACTGTGGAATCGGCTTCAGGCTGCAGGTGCGGCTCAGCTCTGCCTCTCATTCTGGGGCCCAGATGGGAGAGGCAGCAGCTTCCCTGGGTGTTTCCTTCTCGTGGGGCAGATCAGGAGTTTAGGAAGGTGAGCAGAAGCATGTTGTGCCTCCAAAACCTCTGCTCAGAGCTGCCCCACTGTCCCCCTGCCCATGTTCCACTGGTCACAGCAAGTCACATGGCCACGCCACGATGTTGGGGAGGGCAGGAAGGAAGAATTGTGAACAAGCCAGGCTGCCTGCCACAGGAGTGGCTAACTGATTTGGGCTGAGCCAATACAAGACGAGGTTTCCAAAGACATGGCCTCCAAGCTGCCCTGTCCCTCTGCTCCCCAAGCCCTTGTTTTGCGGAACTGGCCCGACTGGGCGGGAAGAGCGCAGGGCTGGGCTGGCCTGGTGCTGCCAGCTAGTGCTCTCCCGGCAGGCGCTCCCCCGTGTCTCGGAGCTGCACTCTGTCTGCTGTGAAACGTGATGAGGGGCGTCCCTCCTCGGCACCTGGGATAAACAGGCGTCTATCTGCGGATGCCAGCTTTGTGGGGGATGCTGACAGACAGCACTTCTCAAGCCTTGTCCTCCCTCTCTCTGGATGGGTGGAGGGGCACCAGATCCCACGGAGTCCCTGTGCTGCGCGCCAGCCGTGGGCCCCACTCTCGTGTAGCTCACATCTCGAGGGAGGTGTCAGATCTGGGGAGCAGAGGAGCAGATGGAGGGTCCTGTGCTGCCCGATCCCCAGAGCCAGAGTGAGCTCCCACGAGCAGAAGCATCCATTTGGCCGCCCCCTCAGACAGGGGTCTGGGGCCCCGGTGATGGTGGAGGAGGAAGTGCCCCTGCCCCGTGGAGCTGGCGGGCTCTGGGAACAACCCACAACAGCTGTTACCACACCTGCAGCTGCCTCCTCGAGTCCCTGCTGGACGCTTCCATACGGAACATGTGACACACTGTCTGTAGCAGGCTGACCGTGGCCCCAAAGGGCTATGTCTACGTCCTAATTCCCAGAACCTATGAGTGGGACCTTATTTGGAAAATGGGTCTTTGCAGACGTAATTAAGTTGAGGGTCTTGAGATGGGATCATCCTGGACTATCTGGGTGGGCCCGAAATCCAGTGACAAGTATCCTCCTAAGAGGAAGGCAGAGGAGATTTGAGACAGAAGTGGAGACACGGATGGAAGAGGTGCAGCCACTTGAAGATGGAGGCAGAGATGGAGGGAGGTGGCCACCAGCCCAGGGACACCCGGAGCCCCCAGAAGCCAGAAGAGGTAGGAGGGACCGTCCCCTAGAGCGTCAGAGGGAGCACAGCCCTGCCAGCACCTGGACCCTCGACCCCTGGCCTCCAGAGCTCTGAGAGAATAAATCTCTTTTGTGTTAAGCCCCCACTTGCGGTGATTTGTTACAACAGCTGCAGGACCCTAACACACCGTCTTAGTTATCTCACGAAGCCTATGCAATAGGTGTGTGGTGCCCATTTTACAGGTGGAGAAACTGAGGCTGAGAGATTAGATGACTTGCTGACGGTGGCTGCTGAGTGGTGAGAACAAAGTCCAGCCTTCTTCCACCTCCTGTGCTTCGGCCCCGAAACAGCCCACGGCTGAAGAGGAGTTCAGCCGAAGAGGAGGGTGCTGTGCTACACGTGACCTGCCACGGAGGCTGCTGAAGTGCAGGAGCTGGAGAACCTGATGCAGGGCGCTGGAGGAGGCGGGACCCCGGTCTTGCTGGGTGACAGCCGAGGCCCTTGGAGGAAGCGGGCTGCGGGTCTGGTGTCCCCGTGCAGACCCCACATAAGGCCTCGTGTGGAGTCCCACGCCAGGGCTTCTCCGTGTTGGAGTCGACTGGAAATGCCTGTCCACCTCTCATTCCTCGGGGGTTGGGCCTCTCCCTCTGACCAGTCCTTAGACTGAGGTGAGACCCAGGTCCTCCTCCTGTCTGGTGACTTGGAGGGACCATGGCAGAAGTGGACTCAAGCCTTGCTGGGAGCTCAGCAGATGAGCGCAGGGCTGAGGGCCCCCAGAGACGCTGCCTGGCACACAGTGAGAAATCAACAGAGGGTTGTTCCCCTCCATTTTCCTCAGAGAAAGGAAAGCCATCTGGGGACGAAAGGTCGGGAGAGAGAAGGGACGTCCACCAGCAGCCTACTCTCCTCATGGCATCTTCTGAGGTGGGTCCCTGCATCTCCTCCTTGGCGGGGGGCATGCAGCCAGCACTGGGGTGTTCGTGCTGCCCTGTCCAGGCCTCTGAGTGGTGTGCAGACTGCACCTTGGACCTCCCGGGCTCCAGCCTCTGCTTGGGGAGCACCGGGTCCTGGGTGTGTTTTGGCTTTGAGTCTTTCAATTCCTCCTCTGCTGGGCATCTGTCCTGCCCCCCGTCTCCCCTCCCGGCTCCCCCTTCTTGGATTCTGCTTGTGTGGTTTCTCTGATCTGATGGGGCAAGACCCCAGAGCACAGTCAGGTGTTCATGTGGGTGTGCACATGCGATGTGCTATGGGGGGTGTTTCTCTCTGGGTACAGAGTGTGTGTTTGCGTGTGTGCTGTGTATGCACAGGGCATGTTGACATATATCTGGTGTGTATACAGGCTGTCTATAACATATGCGTGGTGTATGTGCATATTACGTATGTGTGTTCTCAGGACTGCATGTGTGCATGTGCAATGTTGTGTGGACAACTTGTTTGCTCCCAATGTCATGTGTCTGTATGTGCCGTGAGATTTGTGTGTGCACACACAGTATTGTGTGTGAATGTGTGCTTGATGCAGTATTGTGTATATGTGTGCTACAGTGTGTGTGTGTGTGCATGCATGTGCTGTGAATGTGAGTGTATACACGCACTCAGTATGTGTGCACAGTGTGTATATGTGTGCAAGATGTCTGTATGTGTACATGCGTGTGCTGTGTGTGCACTCACACAATACGTGTGTGCAGTGTATGTATGTGCATATGTGTGTGCATGAATGTGCTGTGAGTGTGTGTACGTACTCAATATGTGCACACAGTGTGTGAGTATGTATGTGCATATGTGTGCAATATGTGTGTATGTGTGCATGCATGTGCTGTGAGACTGGTAACTCCTTTTTTCTTTCCATTTTTTCCCTTTTTGAGTGGGAATGTGTATAACTGTCAATATATGCCTGTCCCAACGTTGTATTTGGGGAGCAGATAACTTTCTTGAGTTTTACATGTTCACAGATGAAGGGGAATTGTGCATCCGGATAGATTGTACCCTGAGCCTCACACACCCCTGATTTAGATTATTTAGATGATGAGATTTGGGATTTTTGAATTCATTAGATTTAGATGAGATTTTTTTTTGGATTTAGACTTGATATTGTAAAGAGTAAGACTTTTGGAGATGTTGGGATGGGGTGAGTGTATTTTGCGTGTGGGATTTTGCATGTGAGCCTTTGGAGACCAGAGGGCAGACTGAGGTCAGCAGAATAACGGCCCCCAAAGATGTCCACACCTTACTCCCCAAGCCCGGTGAATATGCTAGCTTATATGTTGAAGGAGATTTTACAGACGTGATTAAATTGAGGACTTTGAGATGGGGAGATTATTCTGGATTATCTAGGTGGACCTAGATAATCACAAGTGTCATTATAAGAAGGAGGCAGGAACGTCAGAGTCAGAGAAGGAGACATGACTATGGAAGCAAGATCAGAGTGATGAGATTGCTGATTTGAAGGTGGAAGAAGGGACCTTGAGGCAAGGAATGTGGGCACCTCTAGAAGGTGCAAAAGGCAGGGAAGTGGGTTCTCCCTGGAGCCTCCAAAAGCAAGGCAATCTTGTCAACACCATGATTTAGCCAATGAAACCCATTTTGGACTTCTGACTTCCGGAACTGTAAGATAGTAAAATTGTGTTGTTTTAAACCACTAAAATTGTGCTAATTAATTATAGCAGCAATAGGAAACTAATACAGGGGCATGTTGACAAGGAGCCAGCAAAGGAGACAGTCAGTGTTGCAGGAGGATCAGGAGACAGGCAGTCCCAGAACCCGGAAGAAGAACGTTTCCTGAAGGGGAGTAACGCTCTGTGTTGGATGTTGCTGGACCTCCAAGATGAGGGCTGAGGACTGACCTCCTCATTTAGCAAAGTGAAGGTCACTGACTGCAGCAAGAGTGTTTTTGGTGCACTGGGGGAGATAAAAGCCTGATAGGAGAGGATTCAGGAGAGACTAGGAGGAGAGCAACTGGAGATGGCAAGAGTTGTTTCTGAGGGACTCATGGTAAAGGGCGGAAAGACAGGTAGCAGCTGGGGTGCCCTTGGCCTGTGGGAGTGGACAGCACGAGTGCTGTTGAGTGACCCAGCCGAGGGGAGCAGTTGGACAAGAGCTCGGGAGAATACTGGGGCTGGGTCCTTGTGTCGGGGGAGGGGCTGGGTCTAGCACATGCTGCAGAGTCTGCGTGGGTGGGAGCCCTTGTGTGTGTGGGGGCGGGGGGTTGATGCCGGTGGGAGCACATGGAAGTTCTTTTCTGATTACTTCGATTTTCTCAGCGAAATAGGAAACAATCATCTCTTTTTCACTTGCTAAATGTGCTGAGCAGGCTTGCCGAATGCATACACTTCACCCAGGGCCCCAGAGCACAGCAGGAAGCAATAGGAATACGTTGCACATGCAGCTTCAATATTGTTTGGTTGGAGAAATAATATACTGCCCAAATAGTTTGTTTTAAATTAGACAAACACCCTGGAGCCGGCCTGCTGCTGGAGAGGACAGCAAGGGCTGTTCGGAGCGCTGAGGTCAGCTGTGTTTGACATTCCTGACGCGTGAAGGGCTCGCTTAGAACAACAGCGCGAGCCGCGGGGCGTGAGCTCCCTGGAGCCGCTCCAGGGCCCCGCTTGAGAAATGTTTCGGTCCTAGAGATTCCGCCCCAATTTTAAACATCTGTTGGTGATTGTGGAAAATACGGTTGGGATTGTTTTGGTCACAGCCTGTGAAAGCTGCCGTTGTGCTGTGCTTTAAAGCCTCGGTGATGGATATTTCACACTCTGACTCAAGTGGGCAGCGCCGGCCCTGACCCATGTCAACAGGGTCCCACCTGCCGCTCAGCTTGCTGCTCCAGCTCTCCTTAGAGGTGGGTCCTGAGAACCCAGGAAGATGTGAGTCTGGGAGCCCTCCAGCAGCTCAGTCCCCTTCCGTCCTGTCCTGAGGTAAGTCGTGTAGGTGTCTGTGTTCTCCACATGTCAAACTCCTTCAGGCCAGAGGCCCTGCACTTCCTCGGTCCGTCTGTCCACCTGCCTTTGTGAGCCTCATGGGGGCCTCCTCATTCTCTCCTGGCTCCTCATAGCCCCTCGTCAGAGAAACTCTCCCACCCACTGTTTCATTCCATATCTCCGTGGGCAAGACCTGTCGTAGCTTTTTGTTTTCTTTTGGTTTTATTTTTTAGATCAATCGAGGCCAGTCTGGAGTCCCATTTCCTCAGGACAGTGGACACAGTGAATCTGAGGTGCTTTCTGGTCTTAAGGAACCTCTGGACCCCAAACCTCCCCTGCCCTCCTTGCTTCTGCTCCACAGCTGGGCCCTCCTCGCCAGGGTGGGAACGAGGCACACGCTTCCCCGGTCTCCTTCGAGTCCCTTCCCCCCGACCCCAGCCTGCCCTGGCCTGAGCTCCTCACCAGCACCTGTAAACGGCCTCTGGATCTCATCGCCTGTCTCCCTGCGGGAAGGTGTCCTTCTGGGCAGGGGTCTGTGCCTGTTTCTCGTGGTTTTGTCCCAAGCCCTTGAACAATGTCTGGTGCACAGGCAGATAAGAGTAAGAAGCCAGACAGCAGCCTCAGCCCCTCGTTGTGCAGCCCGAGTGTTTCAGGCTCACAGCACCTGCCACAGTGGGTCGTAGTGTCATATAAATATGCATCTCCACCACACAGATGAGAAGGAAGGAGACTAGGCCTGGATGAGTGCTCAGTCATGTTGCCAGTAACCTGACACTTGACCTCAGGTCTGTTGAGTTTCAAAGCCCAATTTTTCAGTCACTGTGGAACACTGCCTCCTTTGAGCCTATGGAACCCTAACCTACACACAACACATCTATCTCTACCCGTCTTTCCTTCGGTCTGTCCATTTGTCCAGTTATCCACAATTTCTATACCTACACTTTTACATCTATCATCCATCCATCCACATAATCCATCATCCATCCATCCATCCATCTAATCTATCACCTATCTATCCATCCATTTAATCCATCATCTATCTATCCATCCATCCACCTATCATCCATCCATCCATCCATCCATCCATCTAATATATCATATCCATCCATCTGATCCAACATCTATGTATTCACCCATCCGTCTAATCTATCATCTATCCATCCATCCATCCATGTATGCATGCATCCATCTATCTAATCCATCATCCATCTATCCATCCATCCATCTAATCCGTCATCTATCTATCCATCCATCCACCATACAATGAGATACACGTGCACACCTCAGTCCTTGAAGGGACGTGCATCCACCTGGCCCCGAGCATCACCCACCCCACCTCCAGGATGGGCTTCCCCTGTCTGCTATGCCCTCCTGATCCATTCTGCTGCTCCAGAGAGAGCTCCCCGCCTGGCTGCTCCTGGCTGTGTCCCCTCTTTGCTGGCGTGCTGCCTTCCAGTGGGATTAGGACCTCCCTCTCAAAGAACTTCCCTTGGTGCCTGTTTCCTGCCTGTCAGTCTCACAGAGACCATCAACCCAAGGACCATAAAAAGTACCAACTCGAAGGGGCCCCTTGCACCCCCACTGGAAGTGGCTGTTTGTCTGCAGGGAAGTGGCATTACAGGAACTGAAGGGATGGGACCCTTTACTTCTGACATCACACTCACAGTGAGGCTGAAGGAGGCAGTAAAGAGAGAGCAACAAGGCCGAGAGAGGAGTCTGCGCCTGGGCCTGGCTGCGTGGGACACAGCCTTCTCTGGGGCCTCTGTTTGCGCCCCTTGGTCCGGGGTGTGGGCCCTGCTCCCGGCTCCAGCACTGCTGGCCTGAGTCCTGGCTGCGGCTGATGGACACGACAGCAGCCAGGGGTGGGAGCTCCTTTGGATGGATTAAAACATGGACCTGTAACTTGAGTCACATCTTTAGTTTGTAGCAAACTTCTGAAGTCAACCGCACTCCTGGGAGCGAGGCCTCTTTTCTGGTGCAGAATCTGCCTTTGTGGAAAGAAAAATAAAGCCATTTTGTTTGTTTCATGTTAAGGCCTGTAAGGTAAGTTTCTGGTTTGGGGGAGCTCCCTTCCTCCTGACCCCAGTCGACCTTGACAAGGGTCCATGAGGCACGTGCTTTCTGCAGGGCCCTCCATAGTGGACTAAGAGGGTGGGGAGGAAGCTGGGCGGCCGAGGGACGTCCTCCCGCTAGTTACTTCCCTCTCTGTCCATCCTTCGTAAACTCCTCTTCCTCTTGCAGAGGGACATGGAGGCGCCTGGTGCTGAGGCCTCAGCAGCGGAAAGCCAGGCCCTTCCTGGCAGGACTGGGCTAGGCGAGGACAGGCCCCAGGATGGCCATCCCTGCAGCTGTGAGCTGGCTGGGGCACTCCCATGTGCTGCGGGCGGTGGGCCATGGGGGCATAACCTGGGGCAGTGGGCAGCGGCTTTCCCTCCCAGGGCTTGGCAGGAAGCTGAGTCCACAAAAGCCACCCACCCAAGGCCAACAGTGGCCAAGCGAAGATTGATCTTAGGCAGCAGGGCATGGCCTGGGCAGCCTGACCACAGACAGAGGCCACAGAGCTTCCAGGACGTTCTAGTTGGAACTGGAACAGGAGGCCTAAGTGTACTCCCTCCGGGGGCCCGCAGGACCCCAGCCCACCACGCCGGCCCTGGGCGTGTTGGGGAGAGGCCAGGCCCCTCTCTGGGATGGACGCCACGGTCAGTGAGGTCTTTGGCCAGAGGCGTGGCCGTTCCTGCCACTTTGCGAGTGTGACTCCAGAGAGGGGCAACTGCGTGCCTGATGGTGTTTCTCGAGCAGAAGGGGAGGCGAGACTAGCGGCGTCAACTTCACAGAGGCACGATGACATAACCCTCCAAGCATTCGTGCCCAGCCTCAATTATACAGTCACACCCAGGGCCACGGGGATTTATGGGAGATGGAAACTTCTGGACTACATTCCCCCTGCCAGGTCCCCAGGCACTTGGCTAGAGGGTGGGACAGAGCTGCACGCACCAGCTGTGGGGCCCTGGGCAGACCTCAGCTGGCCTGTGGATCCGGATGGGGCAGTGTGGATGGGTCCCTGGCCTAGGACAGGCCAGACCCTCTGCACGTGAGCTTTGCTCAGAATCAGTCAGAACTGGGCCCCAAACGCCTCCGCTTAACCAGCGTGCCCCGTGAACCTGCACAGCACTGGCCACTGCAGATGCCGCCAAGCCCACCCCAGTGTGTGTGTGAGCACATGCGTGCGTGCGCATGGGTGTGCGTGCGTGTGTGTACGCACGTGTGCTAAAATGCTTCAGAGAAAAAGCAGCCCAGGAATGTGGGGATTGAATGGGGCATGGGCTGTGCCTGGGGTCCCTTGTTGGGCTGTGGGGTGGGTGGGGCTGAGGCCACAGGAAGAGCCTGCTGCCCCGGGAGCGTGCGGGGGATGCTGTTTCTCATATACTTCATTTCCTGTTTTAACACATGTGAATGTCCTGAAATAAAAACTGTACGTCCCCATGAGGACGGGCAGGTTTGCGGGATGGAAACCCTCCCTGGCCGCCTGTCCTGGAGACCTGCGTGGGGCCTTCCCTGCCCACCATGCGGTCCAGTCCTTCCCTGCTCTGCCTCTGTGCAGGGGTGTGCCTGCAGCTCTGGGCCCAACCCCATCCCTTGTCAGCCTTGCCTGGTGGGCGGAGTGCCGGTGGGGGTGGACTTTCCCTCCCAGACCCTGTGACGTGGCCAGGCTCCAGGTCCCTGGCCTCCTTGCTGTCCCTGGGGTCCCTGAAGCCCCTCTGAAGGGGCCACCTGGGGGCCTGGCACTGCCCACGCTGGAGGTGAAGCGTGTGGAGGCCTTCATCCTTTAGGGTCAGGTCTCTCTGCCCACATCACTCCTGGTGGGTCCCAAGGGTGGACACTCTCCCCAGAGGCTCCAGAGACTGTGTCAGCTCCCCCAGTTGACTCCTTTGAAGTTGGCCGGGCTTTGTTCCGGGCCCTGGAGCTGCTGTTCAGACCCTGGCTCCTGCACAGGTGGGAGGGCTGAGGGCTCCGGTGGGCTCTGCTGTGGTTGTCCCCAAGTGACCCTGTAAACTCCCGAGAGGAGGAGTTGCTGCCTGGAAAGGGGCCTTGACAGGAGCTGGGGGCTTCCGAGTTCAGGATGGGGCAGAGCCCACGGAGCCCGGGCTGCACGGGGACCTCAAGGGTGCCAAGGAGCAGCGGGCAGCAGGGCGGAGTCCATAGCTGGAAGGGTAGAGCTGCAGCCACAGGGTCGGGGGGGCAGTTGTGCTGTACCCCCGAGAGCTCACGGAGTCAGTGCACCTCCTGGGGCCTGCCAACACGAGAAAGGGGCACCTCCTCTGGCGCCATGCCTGTCCGTAGGCCTGAGTGTGCCTTGCAGGGCTCATGGGCAGGACCTGTGAGCCCCAGGCCCGGAGAGACCCCAGCTGTGTCCCGATATTGGCAGAGCCCAGTGTCTGCCCCGTCCAACTTGGGTGATGGACGTGAAGGGTCGTCAGGTTTAGAGGGTCCAGGGTGGACACTCTTTTCTTTTGGGAAGAGCTTGAGCCACTTTGCAGTGAGCCTGGGCCCCTCGTGGGTGAGCTGGGTGAGACCACTGGCCCATGAGGCGAGACTTTCTGTTGAGGATCCAGGAGGGGCCTTGGGGGCATCTGACCCCAGTGAGGCAAGAGGCCTTCTGGGGCTGGGTGGGGTGCAGGAGAGGAGGGGGTTTTTCTAGCTGGGATGGAAGAGGATTTGAGGTCCAGGAACAGCTGGGGCCAGGACCCAGAAAGACCCCAAGAATTGCAGGGTGTCGTTCACCTTGGGGGTGATGCCCAAGGTCTGCAAGAATGGCTAGGTGAGTCAGGGGAATACCTGTTTCCGGGGCTGGGTGTGGCGGGGTTGGGAGACCCCAGACCAATTTTAGGCTGTGTCAGGGCTGCTGAGAAACCCACCTGATTGTGGGTCACAGAGCCAAGGGTGTCAGCGAGAAACATGTGGAGTGCAGGAGGGGCCTGGGTGGGGGTGCGATGTGGCCGTGGGGTGTGGCCCTGCCAGCCCAGGGGTCTTTGTTTCTGCACCGAGGCTGGGACAAGCTGCTACAGGCCGGGCACCTTCCTCTGGGGACGGGGAGCATGAGGTGGACGCCAGGGTTTGGATTTAACTGGAAAGTCAGTCTGTTGCTCTTTGATGGCATTTAGGCCCGTGGGCCAGTGTTGGCCACACCGCAGCCTGGCCTGGCAGGGCAGGGCTGCCAGCATGGGCTCCTCCCACAGCGCAGGGCTGGCCTGAGTCTACTGCCCCCCAGAGCCTGTGAGGAAGGAACTGCAGAGGCTCCCAGTGGCTGTGAACATGGAGGGGTCCACGTGGCCTCAGGAGGGAATCTTGGCTCTGGTGTCCTCAGAGATCCAGACCCCACCTTGCTCCCAACAGGACCCTCCCTGGTTGCCCTGGAGCTCAGGCTGCCCACCCCGTCCTCTGCTCCCTGGCCTACCATGTGCCCCAGACTTCCCCCTGGAGCTCCCCCATCCCCTCCCCTATCCTCCCATCCCCTCCCAGCCCCTCCCTCTGGCCTGTGTCTTTTGGACACGACCCACTTTGTGGTCATTCTTTGCAGACACACCCCTAGCTGGGGATGGGAGGTCCCCTTGGACCTTGGTTTGGGAGGGAAATGGGCTCTGGCCCATGTTAACCTAAATAGTATTTTGCTCTTAAAATTCCAGAGCCATATTTGAGGCCAGGCCAAACCAGGCCTGCCTTTGGTGGCTCTGAGACTCAGGGCTCATCTGAGAACCCCTGAGTGAGCTGGCCTGGGGTGCCCTGACTTGGGGCGGACTAAGGCCATGAGGCAGAGGTACAGGAACCCAGCGTCACCCATGGGGCAGGAATGTGCTGGGCAAGGGTGGTGGGCGTGCAGGGCAGTGAGAGTCCCCTACTCTGCCCTACACCCTTGTTGCTCCCTGCCCCTGAGGGATCCTCACATGGGCTTGGGCTGGGCTGCGTGTGTGAGGCTCTTGGTCTGGCTGGGTCTGGGCGCACAGTAGGCCCTTCAGCAGCTCATCCAGGGATTCACCCCAAGATTCAGCCATCGAGGCATTGGGGGACCCTTCAAGGACTAGAAACACTTTGCTGCGACAGGGCCGTTTGTGAGGAGGGGGTAGTCCAATGGGCAGGGTGAGCTGGGCAGACGGTGGGACCTCAGAGGGAGGGAGGGAGCGAGGGAGGGAGCCGTCCAGGGTGGGTGGAGACAGGGCCTCAGCAGGCAGTCGGGGCACTGGGCACCCTTGGGGCCTCTGTTCTCCGGCTGGTAAATATGTACAGAGCAAGCCCAGTCCACCAAGCAGCGGTGCCCCATGGTGGTCGGGGTCGGCTTCTGGGACAACCAGAGGGAGCAGCCCTCAGCATGTCCTTCTCGAACCTGGCTGTGCTGTGCAGGCCGGGCCCAGTCAATGCAGTGGGAGGGATGTCCTGCAGGCCCTTGAACTACAGAGGATGGGGGGGTCCTGTAGGCCCGTGGGGGGTCTAGGGGGTCACGCTGGCCCCTGGGTCATGGTGGGTACAGCTTTGACTCTGAGTGAGTTGGGAGCCTGGGGAGGCAGCCAGCAGAGGAGATGCTGTGTGGTCCAGGTGTCCAGTGTCCCTGTGACTGGCCCATGGAGAAGATCCCATGGGGTCAGCTGGGAGAGAGGTGACGGAGCAGGGCCGTGGGATGGGCAGCTTCCAGAAATGTCCTGAGGTCCAGCTTGGAGAGGGAAGGGGAGCAGGAATGGAGAGTGGCCTCAAAGCATCAATGTTGCACCCCCTGGGGCCCCACACAGGGAGCCCAAGTGCCCCTAGGCCATCCCAGTCTGGCCACCCAGAGTACTCGGCCTGCGGGGAGTGAGGCCTGTGCTGGCCCATGGCCTCGCAGTCCCTCCATGGCAGAGGGTCCTTCCTGGGCTGATGGGCCCTCACTTTTCCTGGGTGGGGTCAGGAACCCGAGGCCCTGGGAGGAAGGCTGAGAAGGCGTCCCAGCCCCGAGTCCCTCAGCCCACACGGCGCCCATCACTCCCCCATGCCCTCCCTGGGGCCCAAGGCTTGGGGGTGGGAAAAGCACCTGGAACACATCCCACGCTGTTTCCCAGGGAAGGGACCCTGCTCCCTGATTCATGGACGGGAACCCTGCCCAGCCGCCCACCCCCGCCAGGACGTTCCGGCTGCACAGCACATTTCACAGGCATCTGGATCAAATAACTGGCTGATAGTGAGTATAAATTAGAGACGGAACTCTCCAGAAGGCAGAGCCACCGCAATTCATTCCAATGTGATGCATGCAGGGGGGCTGTGGCTCCCTGAAATTCAAAGTCAGCCCAGAAAGAAAGGGCGTGACGCTATCCACACAAGTGTGATCCCCATGGCCTCACAGCTGTGCCTGTGAGGGAGGAGTGAGTGGGAGAGGTCACGACGGGCCAGCACACCTCATAGTGCCAGGGTGGTGGGATGGGGGACCTGCCTGCAGAGTACAGCTGAGCCAGCGCCCCGAACTCTTGCTGTGGCAAGGCCCTGAGCCAACCCCTAAGTGTCTGCTGGCCCTGTAGCCAGGCAGGCATGGCTTTTGATCTGCCACCTTTTCGCTGTGTGACTTCATTGAGTCTCTTACCTTCTCTGGGCTTCCATTTCCTCATCAGCTGCTTGTGAGAATGGAGCAGAGACTGCACAGAAGCCCTGGTGCGGGCAGTGAGGGGAGGGCAGCTCACGGGGAAGGTCCAGAACATCAGGGACAGGGAAGACACAGTGGCCTGGTGGTGGCCACAGGAAGGCTGGAGGAAGGAGAGTGGGGCACCCATTGGTGCAGGAGCAGGTTGGGAGCCAGGCGTGGCAGGGCCAGGTGGGATGGGGGACTCTAAACAAAGCAGCCAGGGGGTGGGTGGGGAGCCTGACAGTGGGGTGCTGCGGAAGGACACACCTCCCTCAGACCAGGACCCCGGCCCTGTTCTCCAGCCTGTGTCTCCACCAGGGTTGATGGTGGCCCCCCGGGTCCAGGGCATGCTGCTGCATCCACAGCCCCTCAGGGCAGCTGGGCGCAGGGTCTGCAGGCTGGCTGGCCTCCTTTCCTCCAGGCCCACCTGCTGGCATCCCTGCAGGCGCCCGGCCGGGGTGGCGGGTCTCCCTGGAAGGTGGAAGCTCAGGGCTGGGTCCCCGAGGGCTGTTCTCAGGCTCCGCTGTCTGCAGACACACGCCTTACACATCCCGGCCCAGACGTCCTCCCATGGGGCCGGGGCTCGGGGGCGTGCTCTTAAGTTATGGTCGAGGCTCCGAGTCACCTGACAGCAGGCTGTGTCTTCGCCTAACCGCACTGGGTCTTGTGGTAACACATTTCAGCGTCTCATTTCTGTGATCAACGTGGTGATTGAATATTTCCTTGGGCTCCTTAAGGTGTTTTGTATTTTTTCTGTTCTTCTCCTTTGCCACTCTTCCCCTGGGTTCTTGCTTTCTTCTTGCTGATTTGTGGGAGTTCTTTGCATGCGATGGATCAGTACTTGTGTTCACCTTGCAGATTTTCGTTCCCTGTCTGTTGCTTAACATTCTCTTTCTAATGGTGCTTTTTTCATCACACAGAAGTCCTCAAATTTTATGTAGTCAAACTTGTCAATTGTTCCCTTTAAGGCTTGGATTTTGCATCTTGCTTGTCTTGCTGAGAATGTGCACATAATCTCTTGTATTTTCTTCCAGTGCTTTTATAATTATGCTTTTTGCCTTTAATCTTAGTCTATTTTTGGATATGGGGTGAGACAGAGTGGAACCACTTCTCCACATTAAATCTTAGCTACCACGAGCCCTGAAGGACACAAATTATAGCGTAGGGGCTGGAGCTGGGCCTTCTGGGCTGGAAGCCATGCCCGGCCCCTCACGGTTGGGGGTGCTGGCCAGTTGCTGAGCCTGTCTGAGCCTCAGTTTCCTCTTCTCCAGAAGGTTTGCATGCAGATTAAACAAGCACCTTTGTGTGAACAACACAGGTCTGATGGAGCCTATGTCGGGTCCTGGAGGTCTGCGAAGCCTGCAAGCAATTCCCAGGCCCTGGGGTCCCCACCTCTTCCTGCTTCTTCTGGAAGAGAGGGGGGTGGGGTAGGGCCAGGGGTCGGGGAGAAAACCTGCGGCCTCCACATATCTCAGCCAGAGTGAGACCGACACTGCACACAACAGGCCCCTCGCCCTGGCGACCCCAGCACAGAGACTGCCTGCCAGGCTGCTGGGGCATCTGAGGAGGAAACAGTCACAGTGTGGTCATGCCAGCCAGACTTCGACAAGCCCAGAGAGGCTCCGAAAGCTGGAAATGACGTAAGTGAGGAGAGAGCCCGGAGCTGGGGCTGAGACGGGGCACCTGGGTCTCAGCCTTCTCCTGGCGGGAGGCAGTGGTGGCACGAGCTTCCCGCTCTGTAGGCAAGTAGCTCCTGCATGCTCCTGAAGGGGAAAGCCCTCCCCACAGGCTGGCCAGCCAGCCGCGGGCCCTGGGGTCTGGGTCTGAGGGGACACCAGCCTGACAGGAGGCCCCTCACGGTCAGGCTGACCCCGGGCTGTGCGGCCTTCCTTCTGCTTGTCCCCCCGCGTCTCTGGTGCTGCCTCGGGACTGTCCCCTTGCAGTCCTCCCCCAACCCCAGCCCTCTGCAAGGCCTCGGGGACTGTCCCGTGAGCCGCTGGGTCCGGCCGTCCTCCCCCTCTGCTCCGGCTGCTGCTTAACCGCTCAGAGCCGCCTGTAGCTGGTGCTTCCTGGTAGACAGCCGTCTGTCAGGCAAGCCGGCTAAGAAAGTGGTAAAGAAGCGGTCGCTGACTTGGCCCAAAATGGGTAAGGGGAGAGGTTAAGAAAAGCGAGAGAAGAGGAGGGGCCTGCCCAGAGTGGGAGCTGAGGGCGTGTGACTTGTGGGGACTGAGTCAGGACCCTCCCCAGGCCCCCACTGCCTGGAACATCGTCAGGTCGGCCTGGGCCACTGAGGGACAGAGCTCAACCAGGAGGCAGGAGCCACAGCTGACACCGCACGCCAACCTCGGTGGGTCCCTTCCTTGAGCCTCTGCTCATCTGAAAGAGGGAGGGATGTGCTGGCCGCCCACTGGGTCCTCAAGAGATTCTTGCCTTGAGGATGGCAGTTGAAGGTGGCCCTCTGCCACTTGGTCACCCAGCAGCCCTGCCCATCCCCACGGCTGAAGGATGAGAGTAGCACAGGCTCCCTGACGAGTGTCCGAAGTCCAGAAATGGGCTCAACGTGGTCAGTGCTGGGAGGGTCTGCAGCAACAGCCGCGCTGCCAGGACCTGGTAGCCAGGCACGTAAAGAAGCACACAGCTCGTAGAATTCTACAGAAGGAGACGACTATTGAGTTTCCTCCTTTTCAAAGTGAGTGCCTCACATTTCCAGCTTTGTTGATTTTTGCGAGACTTCGGGCCCAGACGGGCTTCCCCTGCTCCTCCTGCAGGTGGATGTTGCTGAGCTGAGCATGGTTGCAACACTTTCCTGTGAAATGAACTGAAACAGAAGTTGATGTCTTCCTCATATGAGAAATACATAAATCAGTTAAAAATAGTTCTCGGAGCGGATGCGATGATGTCGTGGCTGTCACAGGAAACACGTGAATCAGGCTCATCCCCACCAACAGGAAAGTCCGTGGTCTCCAGGCCCCTCCTTGGGGGTTTGGGGAGGCAGGGCCCTCTGGCTCACCTCACACCCGGCCCTGCAGAGGTACCCGCCGGACAGGACGGCTGGCCCCGAGCTGGCTGAGCCCCTGCCCATGTAGCTGAGAGCTGGGCTTGCTTCCTGGTTCTGACCTGGCCCAAAGATGCACATGCAAGGCCTCTGTCATCAGCTGGGCCTGGGGACAGACCCTCTGGGCTGGCTGGCCTGGTGGGTGTCAGTACAGAGACCATGTCCCCCTCTGCCTGTGCCCTGTCGGGGTGGTCGCCCGAGAGCCTGCGCCCAGCAACACTTGTGAGGAGCAAGACCCATGTGGTCACATAAGCGCTGAGCAGAAACTTCACACCCGCCCCACACAGCTGCCGAGCCTGGTGTCAGCATTGCGGGCGCGGAGGGCCTTCAAGCCCAGGCGCTGTGACCGTAGCGGCTGCGGTTCTGCCCATCAGGGGAGCAGGTGCTAAGGCCACTGCAGCCCTGGAGGCCCGGTGGCTGAGCCGGCCCTGAGTCACTGGGCAGTCATCCCGGAGAGGCCTGGCTGTGGGCACCTGGTGCAGGCCAGAGCGGGGACCAGGCGTCAAGTTCCTTTGGGCTGAGGTCAGGAGCATTTCCACAGCATGAGCCGAGGACCCTTTGCCTGAACTGGCCATGGGTTTCTCACCTGCAGGGTGGGGGCAGAGGGGGAAGAGGCCAGGGAGGGTAAGGGCCACCCAACACCAGCCAGTGAGCTGCAGAGCCTGCAGGCAAGCTGTTGGCCGTGAGTCCAAGTCGGTGTTGAGTATGAAGCTTGAGAAAAACTCAGCTCAGAGTTGACCAAAAGGCCCCTAAGGGGACACGAAACCAGGCTTGCAGCCACCAAGGCCTGTTCCCCAGGGTGGGGGGCCCTCCCAAGGGGCTTGCGCTGGGCTGGGCCTCCTCTACAGCCTCAGGCCTGAACAGGAAGGACGAGGGTCCCCACTGGCCTCTTGGCCCGTGGCTCTTGGCCATGGAGGTGGGGGCGGGAGGGCGTCCAGCTTACCTCAGGCCTCGCTCTGGTCGTCTGGGTCAGCTCAGTGGGAAGGTGTGAGGAGGTGGGTGGGCATTGGCTCTGCCTCCTCCTGGGCGGGGTCCTGGGGGCAGTGAGAGGAGAAGGGAGCTTGGCTGGGGAGGAGCCACGTTTAGGAAGGCACCCTTCCCAGGAAATTCCCAAAACAGACACCTGTGGGGTGTCCTGAGAGAGAAGACAGAATCTCAAAAGCAGTCTTCTTTTCATATTTTTGAGCCAATAAAAGTTATTTCCCCGCCCCCGGGTTTCAACATTTTCATGTCTTTAAAAGCTTGTGGACCCTGTGCCCTGAACTTTAGGGTCTCACTGCTAAAGGAACCTGGAGATTCCAGACCCACCCTCCTGAGGGAGGCCCTCAGAGGAAGAGAGAAGAGTCTGCCATTCGCTGGGCTCAGCTCGGCCTGAAAGTGAGCAGGAGAGACAGCAGCCCCGCCCTGCCAGCCCATCACAAACACACGCGTGGCCCCACTGTCATAGATAAGCATGGATGCACACGTATGTGTGCACACACACGCTCACACCCATGTGTTCACACACACGTGTGCTCACTGACATGCATCCACGGGTGTACACACGCACACACATGCACTCATACATCTGCCTACAAGCATGTGTACGTACACACATGCACACGTACAGGTGAGGAGGCCGGGGAGGGGTCTATTCTTGGCCTCCCCTGCCCCTCTCACCTTGCCTGGGACCCAGCAGGTGCCCACTGGCTACTGGCCATGTGGACAAGTAAGTGAACTCAGGGCACGGGGCAGGGGACACCGAGCTCTGTGGCCCACGGGCAGAGAGAGGGTGGAGCCGGATCCCTAGGGCTGGAGGGGTGGGGTCAGAGGGGCTCAGGCGTGCTGTGGCTGCTGAGTGCCCTCTATGCGCCAAGCGCTCTCACGAAGCCCCAGCAAGGCTGTGGGATGGAGTCGCTGGTCCCAATGGGCAGGCGAGACTTGTCGACTTCCCAGGATGCGGAGGCACAGCTGTGACTCCCCTGGGAGGGGCGATGATTGTGTTCTCTACCCCCGGTGCTCCTGTGCCCTCGCCCATCCCACTCCTGCCCCTCCCTGTGCTCCATGCATTCAGGGTCATAGTCCAGGCTGGCTGTGGTCTCCTGGGGTCAGGTGGGGTGTGCCCCTCAGCAGGCAGCCACTCCTGGATGAACCAGACCCTTCTCCTCTTCCCCTGCCTCCAGGCGTGGACTTGGTTTTGGCCTCTGACCCCTGTGCCATGAGGCGCCCTCCCCAGCACCCAGGGATGCAGATGCTGTTTCTCACCCTTGACCTCCCCGGATTTCTGAATCAAACATCTCGCATGTCTGAGCTTGGGGTGCCTATGCTTGGCCGCTAGACACAGAGGGCATCTTCAGGGACAAGGGGTGTGATTCTTCCTAAACCTCCCAAGCCAAGGCACCCAGATCCGGACCAGAGAACCTGGGTTGGGGAGAGCTTTGGGGGTGCACAGAGGTTGTGGCTGATCAGGGCAGTGCCCTGCTCGGACAGTGTTTGGGTGGTGCTGCGGCTGTCTCCTCCGATCCCTCCTGCTGGGCAGTGTCAGGCAGGGCAGACGCTGGGACCTGCTCCTGGCCAGGGCTCCCCGTTCCGCACCTGTAATTAGCTGCTCCTGTGCCTGGTCTCAGCGAAGAGCCTCCTTGCCCTCCTGACCTGACGTCGTCTCTGATGCTCTGATGATGCCTATTTTACAGATGAAGAAACGTCCAGAGAGGAACTTGCCCAAAGCCACACAGAGAGTAACAAGGTGGCTCAGAAGCCATCAGAGTCAGGACAGGGCAGGCTTGGCACTACACATGCTGCCTGACAGCTCCTAAGTGCGGGCCCCGCCCGGCTCCCAGCCAGGGGAAGATAACACAAGGCTGGCCCAGCCCAGCCAGAGTGGCCATGAGCATCACATTAGGGAATGTGAATGGGCAAGGCTGGGAAGACTCTGCCAAGATGGTGCTTGTGACCCCTGCCTCTCCCCCACTTGTGCCTCCAGCAGCTATAACTCATTGAGAAGCCAGTTTTCTCACTGGAGGAGACCCTTTCCAGGCAACCTGCCAGTGCCCATGGCCCCTGCGCCTCCCCAGGAGACACCCAGAGTGTTGGATCGCTGTCACTTCCCATGTCATCCAGCTCTTGGGGAGGAAGGACTGAGTCAGCTGCTGCCGGTGCCCAGCTTGTCCCAATCGCCTCCTCGGGAGCTCTGCAGGCCCCACTTTCGTGCTCCGTGTTTCCCACTAGCTGTGAGGGGCCGGGGGCACCCTGGCAGGGGTGGAAGGTGGTGGGGCGTCCCGAGGAGGTCAGGCAAGGCAGCTGGAGAACAGAACCTCTGTGCTGGGCTGGGCACGCCTACAGCGTGGGCAGAGGCGCGATGTGGCCGCCTCCAGGGCTGTGGGTGGGGTGCAGCCTAAGCTGAATTGCCCTCTGGCTCCGGAAGCCTGGCCACATGACCTCAAAACTGAGGCAACTTGGACTTTCTGCTGAATGTGAGCAGCTACTGCTACTTCTGAAAGCAGAGGGATGTTGCCAAGTTCCACCAAGCGTCCCCTTTCTGGAACAGTCGCCATCCCTGGGGCTCCTCCAGGCTCAGCAGGGTGGCGTTGAAGGTCTTAGAGGGAGAAGTCACAAGAAGAGCTGGGACATCTCTGTAGACGCTGGCACTCCCCACCAGCAGGGGAAGTGGCTTAGAACCATATTGTGGATGCATTTATGAGACGAGTTGCCTGAACATCTTAGAGAGGAAGAGATGAAGCTTCTAGACTCAGACACAGGAACTACATGCACACTCAGATGCACAGACACACACATGGCACACACCCTGAGATACACACTCACCACACGTGCTCACACACAGAGATAATACATCGAGAGCACACACACGCACTCACCCTCACAGAGAACATGCCCACATGTCACACACATACCTACACACATCCTTGCCCTGCACACACCCTCAGCCTGGTGGACAGGCTGGAGATCCAGGGTCACGGGCAGACCTGAGACGGCAGGACCGGGGAAGGAGGCACAGGGCCCAGCGCTGCCAATGCTGACTCCCGCCCGGCCCCCTGCCGCCCCGCATGTGCCGTGGGTCCTGCCCCGACCCGAGCCTCTACTTTCTCATCCACGAAACAGGCATCCAGGGTTGACCAGGTTGCTTAAGTGGAACCACATCTGCAGCATCGATCCGGGATGCGCCCGGAGGAAAAGACGACCCGGGCGCGGTGGAGGGCTTTCCTGAGCCCCAGCCTCTGCCTCGGACGCCCTCCGAGGGTGCAGCCCTCTGCCCTGCAGCTGACCCCGCTCGGAGCCCGCACCGCACGACAGGAGTTGCAAGACCCGGCTCCGCAGGGACGGCCTTCCGAGCGCACCTGCAGCGCCGCCTGCCGGCCGCGGGGAGCCCTGCGCCGCACCAGTCCCAGGCGCTCGGCGACGTTGGGACCGGAGCCCAGGGACCCCGCCCCAACTTCCAGAGTCAGGGAGCCAGAAGCAGAGGGCCTCCGTTCCCAGACTCGCTCTTGGATGCGCCAGCGCGGCAGGTTGGACGCTGAGCCGCCTGCCCAGTCCCCTTGCTGGCCCCAAAGCGGACGCTTCTCCTTGATGGAAAAGCGTCCAGGTGAGCAGAGTGTCCTCCATGGGTCATGGGAGCCGTGAGAGGGTGGGCTGGCTGATGTCAGACACACAGGAGCTCCGAGGAGGGTACAAGCGGCCTGAGCTCCAGTCCAAGGGGCAATCCTCAGCAGGACCCCCTGAGACAGTGCACAGACTGCAGAGGGTGGAACAGAAACATTTTGGGGAACCTGCTGCAAAATTTGTGGCTTATAAGTGTAACCTTTGAATACCACTGGAGCCTGTAC